TACTATGTTTCATCATATTTTCTTGACTTTTACCTGCACTACTGGTCAACTTTTCTCTTGCCACCCAACAAAAATATTTTCATTTTGAAAGGCTAGAAATTTAAAATAAGATAAAAATATTGAACTTTGCTAACATGTACACGGCAAGAGACACCCTAAAGGTTATGAATATATCTTATTCTATCTACAATATCTACATTGGAAGTCATAAGCCAGCAGAAGACCACTTGCCAGTCCCAGTACTGATAGATAGTTTAACCATCTTTCACAACTCACTCCGTGGTTTGCTGCCCATTCTTGCTGTGCAAGCCAACTGCAGGCTTGATCAGGCAAAGTGGGAGCAACTTTTGATAGAGCATGTGTTTTGTGGGCACATGTCTAATTGCCTTAAAAATAATTATCCAGTATTCTTCCTCTAAGTTTCTCATTACCCCCAATTTGGGAATCCTTAACCCATAATAATTTTCAGGGCAACATAAAGTACCATAGCTATTGCTTAAAGAATGCATTCTTAATCTTGAGAGTAGTTTACTGTTCAGCTATATCTCATTTCCCTGATGTATTTTAGTTTGACAAAGCAGCCTTCCCTCAATGTTGTATATGATTATAGGTTATAGTGGACTGAATGGGAGAATGCTAGATTCAAGAAAGATGGCTTGCCTTCTTGTTTATCACTGGAATGAGGTTGTCTGTCCCTATCAAGGGCAGTGGGCCAGCTGTTCATTTATCAGGGTTTTTTCCCCGTTTTACCTAAAAGCCTGTCTCCAGTTACTGATTTTAAGGCTCTTCCTTTTCCCATAGAGGATCTAACTTGATTGCCTGGAGTTGGGCGTGATTATATATATGTAAGCATTTTGTAGGAGTAATGGGAGTGAGAAATCTAGTGTTCAGAAGTTCCTCATTTTCTACATCTTACATCTGAGATCTGGAAGGCTGAATAATACACATTTCAGCATATGCACTAAAAGAGTCAAGTAATCTGGCTTTGCATTGGAAATGCAATGAATGGGTTACAAGTATACAGCAGTATTTACAATCATACCAAGTGGGTATTGCATCTTGCAGAAATATTTACTACTATAAGGTCAGCTTACTGCCTTTCAGAGCTTTGGTTTTGGTAGTGCGATTTTGTTAAATGGGTTTGCCTAGAAAAATATAGCTCTCTTATATGCCTGTTGGGACTATATTCCCAGTTAAGTGGCTGCTTTATCTGTCAGAGCCTTCATTGGCACTTGTTAATTGAGTGAAAATATGGAGGTTTGTTGGTGGTGTTTGGTAGCCACATTTTAGTTCTTGCCAAAGAAATAAAACAAATGGATTTAGTTATGGAAAACAGTCCCAAATCTCTTTCCCATCAATAACGCTGTAGGAGGAACATTTTCTACATTTCTTCTAGACCAGTGTTGCCCAAACTTGGCAACTTTAAGATGTATGGATTTCAACTCCTAGAATTCCCCAGCCAGCATCGCTTGGGAATTCTGGGAGTTGAAGTCCACACAAAGTTGCCAAGTTTGAGAAAGACTGGTCTAGATTAAACTTTGGATATTAAATTGGACTATGTCAGCCCGTACTTTGTTTTCCCCTCACCTTTCCCCTTCCTCCCCTCTAATCTTAAAAATACCTGATTGCTTCTCTATTTTAAAATTCTCTGTATTTTACATTGTTTGGAGATTTTTTCACCTAGTTAAAGAGCTTAACTTCATGAGATGGGATTTGTCCCATCTCTTTCACCTAGACTTTATCTTCCTGAATATTCCATTTGAAGATTAAGGTTACTGCATTTCTCATGCACCTTTACAGCTTGCAAACAAAGCACGGACTGAGAAGGAAGAAAAGCTGAGCCAAGCGTATGCAATTAGTGCTGGGGTCTCTTTGGAAGGACAGCAACTATTCCAGACTATACACAAGACGTAAGTAGTAGGAATTTATGCAGATATAATGGTACTAGTAGGTAACTTGTGAGCAGAAATTACTGTGGAATACATTCATCCCTCCCAAGCACTGTGATCCCAGAAAATGCAAATGGACATGAATTCAGTTTTTCTTTCAATTTGCTTGAAAACCAGGAGCTCAGAAATAAACCTGATTTTTTTTTTGCCCACTTTTTGTGATTGAAGTTGAATATGCTAGGTGGATTATTCTAAGTCCAAATAACTTGGGTTGTTATTATGGCTTTTTGGAAGAAAATGATATATGATTATTTGCTGCTGAACTTATGTTGGTGGTGTGAATTTTGCTTCATGAAAGTTTACTTCCTCATTTTTATCTAGCAAACTTGTTTTACATGACTTCGTGCAAGTCACCTCACCCAAAAAAATCCCACTGTATATTCCAGTTATTTTTGAGATACAACAGTACTTACAAAGGGTTTAAATTTATTCAATAATGAAAATAAAAATAATATTGAAACTAGTTTATTGTGAAGAGTGCACAGCTGCTTGTTAAAAGAACCAGCTTACAGCAAAAATCCCTGTTACACTCTTCCTGATTCATTACATGACTCTAATGTTAAATCTGGTTTTTGCAAGTCTAAAGACATTTTGAGTAAAACAGCACAACTTTTCATGCTAAGCTATTGTGTGGTTTGTTTGTTTGATTTTGATTTAGCAGTATGTGTAAGTTCTTGTGGTTTATGATTTATGTCTTAGACTTATGTACAAATTTAATCATTTTATTGACAAAACCATAATTTAGGATAATATGTAAATCTGACCTGCATATCTCTACAATTATAAAGTTCAGCATGTACAGATGTTTAGTTGATTGAAAAAGAGGCTAATCTTAATTGAATGTTGTGGACTGATAAAAATAAAATTTAACAGTGGCTTTTTTGTAGGATTATATATATCAAAACACTCAACAAATTCAAGTTATGAGAAACTAGTATGGGAATCTGATTTTTATCCCCCCCCTTCCCCCACATTATGAAATGAAGTTTCCGCTCATCAGTTTTTGTTTTTGCTTAAAATTGGAAGCTTATTACTTACCTGAAGGATGTTTGCATAGATTATTTCAAATAAATGACTAACCTGTGTTGCCAAAAACACTGCTCATTCAATTGAATGCTGATGATATTGAAGATGGCATACATCTTCACACATATATAGAAGACCAGGACCAAGAATTCTACATTCAAATAATATGGACGCAGAGCTTCTGAATAAGCAGAAATCAAATTTGACTATTGGGCCTTACATCCTCCTCCTAAATCTAACTACATGTTTTCAAAATGTCAGAAAGTTACTTTGGAGGATTTGATGCTTTTATGTGACACTGAAGTAGCTCTTACCCATTCAACATATCTCCTGCTACTGCTCTTAGTCTGCCTTGGGGCTACAAACAACTAAAGAAAATTACACATTTTTAATTTCGGAAGACTGATTAGATTGTTTGCTGAATTAGCCACTCTTCTATTTGCAAAACCCTTTCCTTATTTTTCTGGCTTTATTGCATCTGCTCATCAAGTACTGACAGTTGTAACTTTTTTTTTTAGCTTTCTTGTAAGTTCTGACATGCTCAGGGGCCCAATTTCTATGGTGAATCCATGCTGAAATTGCTGTGTAATGTTCAGAAGTACTACTACTTGGGCTAAAAAGGAAGCCATTGGACAGATGGTCACAAGAACAAACAGCACTCTCCTGTTCCCTTTTCCCATTGCAACTCTATGAATTTTCATTAGTGAAACCAATAAATGTTCTCTGTGCTTCCTCCAGTATTAAAGAGTGTAAATGGCAAGAGAAGAATATAGTTGTGATGGAAGAAGTTGTCATTGCCCCTCCATACCAGGTGGAAAACTGTAAAGGCAAAGAAGGGAGCGCCCTAAGTCATGTACGCAAAATAGTAAGTATACAAAGATCAGAGGGCTGTCAGGGAAGAGAGAAGATGCGGGTCAAAAAACAGCTACACAAGCAAGCTTGACCTTGATCACAGAGATTCAAAAGTGAACTTGAACTGAATTCACACATCTTGCTCAGCCATTATATGGCTTGTTTTGATTTTGGCATAGTGTGAGCCAGCCAGTATAATTCATAAATACTGGCTTATACATATTCTGTGAACTCAAACAATTGTGGTTGATTCAATAATGATGCTGTAACAGACTATGGCCACACAATGTATGAATGCAGCCTTCATATGTGCCTCAAGCAATAACTGTTTTCTTTAAATTAAATATCTGATCAAACAAGAGGCAAGTTAAAATCCAGATGATTAAAGTTGTAGTTGTAGTACAGAATGGAACTTCACAATGCTGCAGTAGCAGAGCTATAATGAGAAATGTCTGTGTGTTCTATTTGAAGTTTTATATAGGGACGTGTTCTGTATGTCAAAAAACGTAATGCTAGTATGTAATCCCTTGGCACAATTTCCCCAATATTCTTTAATATTTGTAGTGGAACAAAGACATTCTGTGTTATTAATTAAGGTAAATGCCTTGTTCTTTTGTTTAGGTGTTGTGTTTTCTTCCTTTAAAGAAAAAAAAAATCTTGACCGCCTGTTATTGTTCATCAATGACCCTCAAATTCAAACTGTGCTGTAAATCATCTTGTTGCAATCAACATTTCCAACCTCATGAACCACTACTTTCCATGAGCATACCAACAGTCCCACTGTCTAAGACAAGTGCTAACTTCCTTGCCTCCTCCTTCTCCATCCAGGTCGAGAAACATTTTAGAGATGTCGAAAGCCAAAAGGTGATGCAGCGTTCACAAGTCCAGCCAACACAGAAGGAAAGCGCCCTCTCATCCTGAGTCCCGCCTGCCCTTCCTGGTTGCGACAGATTGCTCCTGCGGGGGGTGGGGGTGGGGGGAAACCCTTCGAACACGCAGCAGCAGATGACACAGACTTCTTCAAAAGAGGTCAGGGGAGGGCAGGGGGGATCCACTTCTATGTCGTGGCTACCCTGTAATGATGGGACCCACAGCTTCTGAACTTTAGACTTCAAAGACAAAAACAAGAGAATAATTTAAAAACTCATTCATTACTTGACTAACAGACTCTTTACTTTTTGCCCACCAGGTTTCCCCCCTAGAACAGTCAGCTGTCTTGTATTTGAGGTTTTTCTCCCTCCCAGATTTTTTTTCTGCTTTACTGAAATCAATTCCATGCGACCCCTGTTCCTGCTGTATGCTAGGAGAATTCAGCTCCCTAGTTGTCCTATTAAAAAGAAAAAAGAATAGAGGAAACAGAAAGTAATGAGCTGACTGTGGTGATGTAATTGGGACTTTTCTGTGACTGGCGATCTCATTTTGGTTTTTGTTTGCACAGGGCAAGGCTTGAATTAGCCTTATTTTTCTTATCTCGAAATATATATATAATAAATATATATATATATAAAATATCCTTTAAATATTTTTCTGCTTCTTGCAGTACTCAGAATTGGGATCATGGCAGAAAAAAAAAATCCATGCTTGTTAACAATCAAGCCTTCTGCAGTTGGTATTTTTAGGTATAATTCAGAAGATCAGATGTCTGCTGAAGCTTGGACTTCAGTGGGCCACACCCTATTGAAAATGCATACCTAGGGTACAAGGTTCTCCCATTTGGTCTTTCCACAAGTTTTATCTTGTACATTATATTGCCACAAATCTGAGCTCTGCTAATACCACTGGATTAGAAACTGCTAACCAACACTACAGATCATACTGTTAGAATCATTCTAACTTCAGAGGCATGAAAACTAGATTTCATAGCTTCCTCTTGGTCATGTACTGTTCTACTGACCACAGCAAAGCACACCAGGATTTTCTGTAGTAAGGGTTGCTCGGGTGAAACATAGGAGGAACAATCTGTATATTGTCCGTAGTGACCTAGCTGGGGCTGGGGAGGGGCATGAAGGTTTGGGCTGAATTCACATATGATTGTGCTCAGTCCTGCATTGGCCTTTTGTCCATGGAAATAAAGCATCTGAACTGGCAGGATAATAGAACAGCCTCAGTGGGATTTTCCCCTGCAGCATAGTAAAAGCATCCTTCCAGTGGCGTACAGCTGTGTCCATGGGCATCTGCAGGGGGGCAAAGAAGCAAATAACGTGTGTGTTCTGGTACAAATGATGCACCTCGTGTACCTGTATAAGATGTCATGATGCAAGTATATCATCTGTATGTCACATGACATGTTTTGACATCATGGCTTATTATGGATAGTGCTGTCTGCATAACTCTTAAAAGGACAGGTTACTTCAGCTTCTCTGTTTGAATATGTTGGAGATCAGAGGCAGTAGCTGTAGTTCTGGGAATCCAAGCATAATATAATAAAATAATCTCCTGGCGGGGGGGGGCTATAGGGTCACTTGGAGACACTGGCCAAAAAGTAGTATTCCTGTCCATAACTCTGCTGTACAGCTCTCAACTAAATTGTCAAAATGTTCAGCATTTGTATGATTTGCTTCTCCTGGACTTGCTGCTCTCAGGGTCCTTGATAAGTATCCTTGGTTTGGAAATACATTTTTGGCAGATATATGGGATATAAAGTTAAACTTAACAGAGGATGGGGGGTTGTGGTTGGGTTGGTTTTTTTTTTTTTTTTTTTTGCTATGATCTCTTCTCCCCTTTCCCCTTTTTTGTTATTTTTAAAAGGATGAAATTTTAAATAATTCAAGCCCTGCCTTTCAGAATGGAGGGATTTTTTTTTAGTATTGTCTAGCAAAACCAATAAAAACCCAGAATTTTTTTAACCATCAAACAAGCATTTGTGTTGGTGGGTTTGTGTCTTTAAAGGTGCAGGTAGAAGATGTTGGAGGAAGGAAGGATTCTACAGAGAATTGGAAAACAACATGCCATACTGTTTGTTGAATTGGAGGACACATGAGGATACACAGTTGGACGTTCTGTGCAAACTGGCATGCCAACTTGTGCACTCTGATATGTTCTGTTGGGTGTGCCCATTTTACACATTTCTCCATCACTTCTATATTTCCATGAATGAGATATGTTGCGGGATATTTTTGTAAAACGTGTGAGTTAATATTTTTGATGGTTGCAAGACAGTGCAACTTTAATGTAATATGGATGGAAAGCAGAAAAGAAAAGCTTTACAATACAAACCAAACCCTATGCATTTATTCTCCAGGACAAGCACTGAAATGATATGGTGGAGTTATATAAATTTCTCTGCACATCATATAGGTAACTTCTCATGTTGACAAAGTACCTCAAGACATTCTAGTTAGAAAATTAGAATGAAGTGAAGTGGATATGTAGCTGGCTCAAAAATTATACTCAAAAGTGTTCGTGAATGGTTACTTGTTAAACTGGGGTGAAGTGGCACAATTAGGGATATTATATTCAACTTCTATTAGCCACTTGAATGAAGAGGTATAGGGAATGCTAATCATATTTGCAGATGATACAAAAATGAGAATCCCACAAGACAGACAAATGTTTTTGATAAGTTAGAGAAGCAAGCTAGAAATACTAAAATGAGAGAAGTGTGGAGTTCTTGGGAAATTCAAAGATGGAATAGCTGGCTACATAGTAGTACTTAACTGCAACGTGAATATGAATCAGTGGTGTAACGTGACTGCAAAGCAATACATTTTATGTTGTATCAGCAGAAATATTTCCAAATCATAAGAGGTAATTGTTTTGTTTTACCCTGCTTTGGTTGGACTCTACCTTGAGTACTGTGTCTAGTTCTGGGCACCATATTTTAAGAATTCAGAGAACTGGAACGCATTCAGGGAAGGGCAGTGATGATCAGGGATTTAGAAAATAATCCTATGAAGAGAAGTTGGAGGAATGTTTGTCCTGAGAAAGGTGCAAGCAATAAGCACTCTTTATGGTTGAAAGGATGCCGTCCAGAAGAATATCAAGACCTGTTTCCTGTCATTCTAGAGTGCAGGACATTAAATAATGAAATTGTGTTACAGGAAGGCAGATTCCAACCAAATGTTTTTAAAAATTTACCAGCAACTTGACAGTAGAGTGAATTATCCAGAATAGTGATGCACCCTCCTCTCTGGATGTGTTCCAGTGGGGCTAGACAGACATTTTTCTGGGATGTTTTAATTTGGATTCCTGGGTAGAGCAGGGGCTTGGATTCAATTGCCTTGCTGGCCTCTTCCAGCTCTATGATTCTATGTTGGGGCTTCCATATGAAGTGCATAGTAGTTTATTTCCTTTTGGATCTGTATACTGCCTTTTGGCTAACAGACAATCAATGCATTTTTTAAAAATCTATTATTTTCTTTAAAGCCACGTAAATAGCTATTAGTTGTGCCTGCTTGTCTATGGCATAGTTTGTCTTAGCTCTCCAAACTTGAGGTTGGTTTGGTTTAAGAAAGATGCTCTATCTGGGTAAAAAAGAAGAGTGTGAATAAGTTGTAAAAACATAAGGGATTGCCCTGCCTTCTGGCTCTCCTGCTACTGATTTTGGCATTATATATTGCTGCTGGCATATAGATCTTGGAAGAATGTGTCAATAGAGAAAACTTGCATACACCCAGGGTTTAATCTAGCAATGATAACTGAAATGGTTTGTGCACTGTAATCAGGTGAGTAAAAACAAATTTGATAAACATATAAAATTGAAGTAGGCCGGAAATGCCCAACAATATATAAGACAAACATAAGTTTACAATTGTTCGTGGTAAGTATTCAGTGTTGTGTTATTTGTGCTCTCCCAATCATCGACACAACAAGAATACTAGATAGTCTTACTTAGATGGCCTAGCATTTGGGTGCAGGTGATAACGCATTTTCAGACTTTAGAATACCCAGGAATCTGATCTCTTCCTCTTTTCCAGAAAACAATTGAGACTGATCCTCCAGCTGTTCAAAGGGGGGCAGCAGAACACATCCCTGTGAACAGAGACCTAACATTTAAGTCCAGTTCCAAGCCATTAAACTACTGTTTTGTAGTCAAGAGCTATAGCTTGAGATGTTTTCCTTAGATGTTTGCAGTATAGAAATGAAAGTTAATTTTAAATTGTATATAGTTACAAGAGGTAAGTGAATATTAAGTAGTAAAAACAATAAAAGAGGAGAGAATCCTGCCATGGGATACAAAAAATTCATATTAACATGTGAATCTTGATTTTTTTCCAAGGTAAATGCTTATTTTCCCCAACTATGGTGGCTTCTTGAATAGGGTCTGAAAAACTTTTCATGGTCTGAAAGGCTGTAGTTCTTCCTGTTTTTCCCTTTGTGAACTAAATAGATCATTTTTCCCCTAAAGCTTATTATAAAATGCCACACATAAACTCACCACTTAAAAACGTACATGGGTCAGCCTAACATTTGGGATGGTGAAACTTCAGACAACAGCTGAACTGAATTGAGCCAAAATGCTCCATTCCTCCTATATAGCCTGGCCACTGTCCAGAATCTGGTGGTAGGTTGCAGTTCAGCTGTTAGTCCTGTGAGGTAGATCAGATCAAGAAACCGATTCTGCAGGAAGACTATAACTACTTAATCAAGATAGGCTGTAGTAACAGAATCTTGCAAGTTGGCCTCTCATATACCCCCACTGAGTCAGAGAGGAGCCACCCTAAGCCTCTTCCTAATACTACCTTTTTTCCCCAGCGCTTAAGGAATGCTTCTGCCCTTGTTTCTGTAATGGCATCTGAATATTCCCTTCAAGGCCATTTCAATGGCTCTGTACACCAGCAAAGCAAAATGAAAGAATAACACGTAGAATAAATAAAACACGGAATAATAAACAAGGTGACATGTACTGAAGGCATTTAAGAAACCAAATTCAGTTGCTGATGGAGATGGGAATCTCTCATTTTACCTTGAATCATAACTTCTCACAAGATAAGGTCATGTGCTGGACAAAGCTCTTGAGATATAGAAAATTACAGGAGAAGGAGATTAGATTGAAGAAAAGGTATGGAGAATAGATAGAGCAAACTGAAATAAGAGCCAGTTTGGTGTAGTGGTTAAGGTGCTGGTCTAGAAACCAGGAGCCTGTTAACTAAATTAACTCTTAACTAAGCCCCCCCCCCCCTTTAGGTATGAAAGCCGGCTGGATGACTTTGGGCCAGTCGCTCAGCCCAACTCACCTCACAGGTTTGCTGTTGTGGGGAAAATAGGCAGGAGTATTAGGTATGTTTGCTGCCTTGAGTTATATATAAAAACGGTGAATAATAATCAGCAAGTAAAGTGGTTTGTAGCAAGCCTCATTGCAGCAAGATTCGTCATTGCAAGCCCGAGCGTTACGAAGCTCCCACAGTGACAAAGACGAGGAAGGCACCAAAAGAGGCAAAGATTCAGTGGATGGATTGTGTTTGCAGGGCTAGTCCAGAGCTAATCTATCAGAACAAGGGTGGTATTTCAGTCAGCAGTTTTGATAGCTCACAGTACAGTACACCTTTTGATACGTATCGAGGGACAATCCAAAAGCTGTTGGGGTTTCTTAGTAGCTAAAATTTCCCACTGCAGGAATGCAGAGAATGTAAACAGGCAGTGCCGCTTACAAGTGAGTGTGTAAAGCAAAATGAAAATTTATTGTTACACAGAAAAAAATGCATGAAGCAAAGGTGCTGGATTTGAATTCAGGGAGGATTCAAGTTTTAGACTGTCAGCTGTTTGTAATGGCTACTGCTTTGAGTTTTAATAAAGATTTGGTCTAGACTTGATATATCAAGATAATGGAAAACAAGTTGTGCCTGCAAAGAACCAGCGTAATCAGGATCTTGCCGGGCATGGGATGCCCAAAAATTATCAATCAGCCTTTGCAACTTGGTGATTCTTGATATGTTGGACTGGGATTGTATCATTCCCAATGTCCTTTCTGGTTGGGATGATGGTAGAAGTAGTTTGACTTGCCTGGAAGACTCTAGACCAGACAGACTCCAGT